TAACATATTTTTACTCCAAACTCACTTCATAATGTCAGTCGAGTGTTTGAAATACATCCTTCTGTGAGATGATGTGGCTTTTTACACAGAATAAGGCACGCAACATATTTCATAGCATTCTAAGCAGTGATAAAGGCTATGTCGATTAGCATTTCATTATAGATATGCTTTATTATGATGAAACTCAGATAAACCGTATATTGCCGTAGTCGTGTGTTTATTAGTCACGTCGAATCAATGAAAGCAGTTGAATCTTCTGTTTATTCAGCAACTGCGATAGGGATTTCCTGGGTTTCTTCGGCGGGGCATATTTGGAGTTTCTGGGCGAGAGCCAACAACAGCACAGATTAACCCTCCGCACATTTTTATATTTAGTTATATTGAAAAAGTTTCAATTCAGTCGATCTTTTTTACCCCGTTTTAACATGGATTTCTATGGAGAGAATGGTGGATAGCAGCGGCAGCGCATAATATCTGCGTTCTGATTGGTCAGCTCGCCTGTCAATCAAGCTCTTTGCGAACTGTTAGTCGTACCGCAGCAGACTCGTCAGTAAATGAGTACAGAACAGCACCAGTTGCTTACTGACTGTTTGGACTTTTAAAATATGAACATAGTTCGTCTGTCGCGATTATAAATCATGATTTAAGGAGTATAGTGAGCTACTGGTTAACGTGTAGTATTAATGGGTCGTGTTTAGTCACTATTTACGACAACAGAAAATATGTAAATGAGAACAGCTTTATTGGGCAACTCGTCTGAACGCAAGACGTCATAAATATGCTAATTAGTATGTGACGTCACTTGCCGCCACAAGTCTCTCAAAATGCATAGTTTAAATATTTATCTAGATCTGATGAAGTGCTTTGTAACATGAATGTTCTTCAGCATCGTGCATGAATGAAGAATCAAGAACAAACACCAACCTTTTAGTTCTTCAGTGTGTTTGATTCTGCAGGGCTCTGGATCTCTCATCTTCTCTCCGTCCTCTTTAATAAACCCAGATTTCAGCTCTTCCTGATGCTCGTCTGCACTTGTGAACTGATGGGAATTGTCCAGCATTTCTTGGTGAAATCACTGACGGTGTGATTGCAGTGGGAGGAGCTTCACTGACGGTGTGATTGCAGTGGGAGGAGCTTCACTGATGTTGTGATTGCAGTGGGAGGAGCTTCACTGATGATGTGTTTGCAGTGGGAGGAGCTTCACTGATGATGCGATTGCAGTGGGAGGAGCTTCACTGATGATGTGATTGCAGTGGGAGGAGCTTCACTGATGATGAATTTCTGTGTGGAAGCAGCAGATCTGCAAAAATCAACAATAAATCTGAGTCTGTGTGTTTTTTAATTAATTTACATATTTAAGCATTTATGTAAGTGAAGCAGATGCCCTCCAACTTCTGTCTTTGAAGAGACCATAGCCTAAGTGTTGTCTCTCTCTGTAAATCATTATATTACTATAGTAAACTTTACAGCATTGACACAAAGAGCACATCAGTTTAACAAGTGCTCATTCAGTATCGATCCATATTTTTCCCTTCTGCCCCCGTGTTAGGGCTGCACAATTAGTCGAATTTCTAACCCCGTATTAATATATAAGAATATATCTGCATAGAAATATAGATTATAATATAAACTCTCCCAAATAACAGTAAGGTGTTTTTTGTAAGAAATTTGACGACACTCACCTTCATCAGTAACTACAGGTGAATAACTTACACTAGAGCACATAATATCTAAATATAGTTTGATTATTTTAATAACTACGTTCGTACAAATGAAGTAATTCGATTATTAACATGTACTGTATGCAGAAAATGGCAGCGACCATAAAATCTTTAAAGAGAAAGAGTACCACAACAATTTAATGTTTCCTATGTATGTATAGATTTAAAATACACCACGTGACTCATTATGAAGTATTTAACCCTTGGTAACTGTAACAAATTTGATCCCCAAAGATGAACGTCAGAGAATTAAGGTTATAAATAAAATCGCAGCAGTAACACTTGATACGGGTTCGCATCCATTCCAACACAAACACACAAAAGCGCTCAGGTCTTCATGTTGCCTGCTGTACTGAGTGTTCAAATCAGCAAACACACAAGCAGCGCTCAACCCGATGACAGCCATACACAAACGAGCCCGTGTTTGTCGCTGAAACTCTAGAAAAGTGTCTGGTGGTTGTGTAAATATGAGAAATACCGTCAACTGCTCGCCTCTCCTCAGAAGACTCGACGCGGAATGAGTGAGGCGCGAGGGGGTGACGTCATCACCGCGAGACGACGAGATCGAATGCAGATCGTCAAAAAATGCGCCAAAATCGATTTAAAACAAAGGCGTTAAAGGGGCAGGGGACAAATAAACTTTTAATGAATATTTATATAACTAGATCAAATCATTTGCAATTAAATCAGAAGTATTATTATTATTATTATATTAGTATCATAAGGGAAATGTGACATTATTATACCACATTTCCCTTTGAAATAACTACTGACAAACAAAATGGTGATGAAAATGGCATTTATGACTAAAACTAAATCAAAATTTGCTGTCAAAATTAACACTGGGCCCATGTGGTTTTGAAATGGGCTGAAAAATGGGCTCTATATGGGACTGTCCACGGGTTCCATAACGGCCCCATGTTAATTGCCCACATGGATTTCATGCAGTATTGCACTTGCCACTAGGTGGGCCCCAACTAGGCAACATGTGCAGGACCCAGCTTTAAGTTTTATGTGGGTACTACATGGGCTTGAAACAAGGGTTGTAAGTGGGATTGTTGGCAAAACTGTATAGCAACACCACACAAATAAAATAGCAAAAACAATTACCATGGCAGAAAGCAGTAGAGAGAAAAGTGAGACTGAATTCCTTTCAAATTTCAATTTTATTTAACTAAACAACGTTATATATCATGACTGAAATCCTTTCAAATTCCAATTTTATTTAACTAACAAACATTATATGTCATGTTTATGTCATAATGGCACGAAACTTTTAGAACCAGCCTTATGTCACAATGGCACGAAACTTTTAGAACCAGCCTTGAGTGTTTGGGGAAGCTTTAGCTCACTTTAAAAAGAAATGTAGGAATACAACAGTCAAAAAAAAAAAAGTAGCAGCAACTTATAACCTTATAACCTTTTCAGTAAACCTTAAACTGCAGCCATCTTTTGGTGCATTCTTGAGGCCCTCTGTCCTCCTCTGTCTCGTGCAGGCGGACTTAACCATTAGGCAAAGGTAGGCGACCGCCTTGGGCCCCCAAAAGTCAAGGGCCCCCTAAAATGCTTTTTATATGCGAGATGCGCGTTCAGTGCGGACGCACAAGTGGTTGCTGTGGTGTTCATTACCACGACAACCGTCTGTGCGTCCGCATATAGGATTGCACTTGTCACAAGGTGGGACCCAATTGGGCAACATGCACAAGACCCATCTCGGTCCCAGCTTTAACCCAGCTAACATTTGTATGTGGGGCGCATGTGGTTTTGAAATGGGCTGAAATATGGGCTTTATATGGGATTGTCCATGGGTTCCATAATGGCCCCATGTTAATTGCCCACATGGATTTCATACGGGAGTGGACTTGCCACTAGGTGGGACCCAACTGGGCTACATGTGCAGGACCCATCTCGGTCCCAGCTTTAACCCAGCTAACATTTGTATGTGGGACACATGTGGGTTTGAAATGGGCTGAAATATGGGTTTTATATGGGATTGTCCGCGGGTTCCATAATGGCCCCATGCCAATTGCCCACATGGATTTCATATAGGATTGTTCTTGCTACTAGGTGGGCCCCAACTAGGCAACATGTGCAGGACCCATCTCGGACCCAGCTTTAAGTTTTATGTGGGTACTACATGGGCTTGAAACAAGGGTTGTAAGTGGGATTGTTGGCAAAACTGTATAGCAACACCACACAAATAAAATAGCAAAAACAATTACCATGGCAGAAAGCAGTAGAGAGAAAAGTGAGACTGAAATCCTTTCAAATTTCAATTTTATTGAACTAAACAACATTATATGTCATGTTTATGTCACAATGGCACGAAACTTTTAGAACCAGCCTCAAGTGTTTTAGGAAGCTTTAGCTCACTTTAAAAAGAAATGTAGGAATACAAGTAAAAAAAAAGAAGAAGAAAAAAATAGAACTATAACAGTTAGAAGCAGCAACTTTTTCAGTAAACCTTAAACTGCAGCCATCTTTTGGTGCATTCTTGAGGCCCTCTGTCCTCCTCTGTCTCTTGCTCCAGTGAACCATTTTGACAGTGCCCTCTCAGCCTCTTGCTGGTTGACCTTTGACGTCAGCTGGTTGTTCTTAAGGGCCTCTGCAAAAACAAATGACTTTTTAAGATATGCAGGATCTCTGTCTTCGAACGGACCCACTTACACTATTGAGTCACACCTGAAACAATCACATTCCATTGAGACAAACTGAGGAGCACCCTATGCAGCCATCTGCGGTCGTAAAACTCATGCAGGGTCAGTGAAGTGTCTCAGCAGTTCCTGTCCCATCTAGCTTATCGTCTCAAGAGACTCAAATAAAAGCAGTGCTTAAACCCTAACTCACCAGGGGAGGAGAAACTCCCCCTGTCTGAAAACCCCTCGAGGATCAGAGGTGCAGTGTAACGTGACTGGCTTCAGCATAAATAACTATCTAAGAGACAACAGAACAAAGAACCTGGTATCTGGAAAAGTTCCAGCACAAGACACTCCTGGACCCCATGACCGTTTAGATGCGCGTTCAGTGCGGACGGACAAGTGGTTGCTGTGGTGTTCATTACCACGACAACCGTCTGTGCGTCCGCGTTGAACGTGCTTCTTAGCAAAAGTAGGGCGATGTAGAAAATGGGGACGGAATCCCGGAATCTATTCATAAAAACGGAATTTACTCTGTAATGTGACGGAATGAACGGCGCAGACGCGCGTTTTGTTTGCTATTTAAGCACGCGCAACGCTCGCGGTTGTCGTCTGTAGTAGCTAAATAGTATTTTTGCCATTTAATATTCAAATACACTAGTCCATATTGCGGTTTGATTGAAGTGTACTGAATTGCATTTGATTTATTCATTCAATATTTGACGAATTCCGTGACATTGCTCGTTACACAGTAAACTTCTGTTGTGTAGCATTTTGAATGTACAAAAATTAAAGGGTTTGTTTAATTTTCATTGGAATAAAAAATAGATTCATGTTTTTGCCTTCATTTGATTACCAGAAAAATGAAAATACACAACACAGAATTTCTAAAAAAGTAAATAAAATGACACGATCGTGCAGCAGCGAGCAACAGTGAAAGGAACCTCAAGGTTGTAAATGTGTGAAATTGTATCGGGCCCCATTCCTGTATTTTGCCTGGGGCCCCCAAATCACTAAATCCGCCCCTGGTCTCTTGCTTCAGTGAACCATTTTGACAGTGCCCTCTCAGCTTCTTGCTGGTTGACCTTTGACGTCAGGGGGTTGTTCTTAAGAGCCTCTGCAAAAACAAATGACTTTTTAAGATAAAAAATATACAAGTTCATTAACATTACAGATAATGACATTTTGTATGACTCAATCGGCAGTCACTAAATTTGGCCGATCTAACAAACTGATGAAAATTTTATTTTCTAATTAATAAACATGCTCCTCTGAAAACAATACGAGTCAAAGGCAGTCATCTTCCCTGGATTAACTCAGACCTGATTAATTTATACAAACAAAGGGACAGGGCTTGGACTGTACATCGTAAGACCAAACTACCAGATGACTGGAAACGTTATCGACATCTTAGGAATACCTGTAAAACTAAGACAAGGAATGCAAAATCTAATTACTATAATGATTGTTTTTCTCAAGATTTTCGTAACCCCAGACATTTCTGGAACCATCTAAACAACGTTTTAAATAAGCAAAATAAAACCTCCACAAAAGAGTTAATAATCAATAACGAATACATCTCTGATCCTTTACAGATATCTTATGCGTTTAATACGTTTTTCACATCCATAGGTACTCACTCATAGGTACTTTCCAGATCAGATATTTTCTTTTAGTAAAATTTCTCCTTCTGATACTTTTAATGCAATATGTGGGTTAAAAGAACATAGCTCGCCTGGCCCAGATGGCTTGGAAGCTAAATTCGTTAAACTTTCTTCTCACATTTT